AGTGATCCACCTGTTTACAGCCTCCCAAGAGCTGGGAATATAAGCACGCGCCACTATACCTAGTCTCAATTGCTGTCTCTGCAGGCCCCGGGGGTGGGGCCAGCACGGGAGGCCCGGGGATCGAACCTGTGGCCCCTACTAAGCTATTTAGTCTGCCCTAGAAGTATTCTTCTTTATGCTCAAAGTATAATTATAATCCATAAGACTACCCACATTCATAATGACTTAAAACAGACCAAGTTAGATCTAGAAAATTTTCAGATGATCCTGATAAGTACACTGAGGTCTTTAAAGGATTTACTCAGACCTATACACTAGACTGGAAGGATATAATGTTAATCTTAAATCAAACCTTGACTTCTAGTGAGAAACAAGCAGCATTACAAACTGCTACTGCATTTGAGGATGAAGATTATATCATTAATTTTAGACAACTAGAACATAGGCAGCCAAGGGAAAAACCAGTTCCCACTGGAGCCCAAGCAGCTCCTCCCCGAGACTCCTTCTGGCTTATAATGCTACTTGGGAAGAACTATATACTGTTATCCTCTTAACTCCATCAGTTGTCAAGGTAGCAGGCCTAGACTCCTGGATATAGCACACTTGACTCAAGTCCTGGGAACCAGACTGTCACAGAGCATTGGCAGCTACCATTGGAATACTCCTGCAAACCCATATAAGATTTAGGATTCTTGTTCAAGTAAAAAAACAAAGTCTTCAGATAAGTAATCTAAGATGTTATTCTTAGCCCTCTTACTAATCACTTTACCACTTAAGGGAGTATGCAATTCCTTTCAAAGGTGGGCACAAGAATATTCAGAGTCATTATGACAAACATCTCGCTGGACATGTGGCCTGCTCCCTTTTTCCAGTATACCTGGACTTCCTTGGTAGGTATCCTTACTCCAAGGAGATGAGTGGAATAAACTACAAGACTGTATCAATGAAAGAATTCAATGCTTCATCATTTAGCCCATCATTACAAGGTAGCTGAGTGGCCTATAAACTATACTCTTGGGGCTGGACATCACAGAATTTTTTCTAACAATGCCACTGAACCCTCTT